TAATAAAAATTATGTTTCAAATTAAAATTTAAATGCATAAATTTTAAAAAAACTTTTACATTTAAAATCTTTAAAATTTTAATTTTTATATATTTAAATTTTAATCTTATTTATAATTCCAAGCCAAAAAAATTTTATTTTTAGCATGCACATTTTAAATAGTGCCTTCCACACCACCCCCCCACCCAAGATTATTTCTTCACCTTCATCTTCTTCCTCCTCACACCTAGCCTTCGAATTGTAAAAAGAAAAGGAGGGTATAGCCTGCAACATCAAGCACTTTTGTCTTCCTGAAACCTTGTTGGGCACTCGAATTTCGTCGTAGAAATCTTCATTAACGTCGCAGGAAGCATATGCAAGTCCTTCCAAGTTCCCCTCCGACTGAACCCGCCGAAAGCCACCACCTTTACCATCGAAATCAGCAATGGAGGGAGACGTCGTAGAGGAGTTGCAGTTGCAGGAGAAATAGAGAGATGCAGGAGAAGGATGAAATGAAACTTTGTTGTGGTGAAGCCCGGACGGTAGATGGTGCTTGATGGCAGCGGCCGCAGTGATACCATGGTTGGGACTCTCTGCAACAGAACAGTGAGATCCAAGAAAGGGTTGAAGAATTCCGAAGCATCAATTTTTTTTTTACTTTGTTTTCTCTTCCCCTCAAGAATCTGAGAAGCAATGACTGATGCAGAGAATCCCTTTATAAGAGAATTCACAATTTGGTTCTTTCTTCCCCATTGACCTTTTTTTTTTTTTTTTTTTTATGGTATGAACCACCAGCATTGTACTACCATTATTCCAGATTTGAACCAAACAAGATTCAACGGCAGCAAAACTCCCCTTCACAAATTTTAATGAAACTGTATTCTTAGAACTTGAAAGCAATATCTCTAATTAAACTCTAATTAAACTGAAAGAAACTCCTGCTAACCCATCCATTCGCTCATGGAACCCATTGACTTTCTATGAAACTACAAGATTGTTTTCTGCGGTGGAGATAGAAACAGATTTTGATCTAGTTTGAAGGCTAAATTTAATGTTCGGCCTATTAATTATTTACCTGTTGTTACTTTAGTTTTAAAAGTTTATTTCTTTTCAAATTAGACTAGAATTACTTCAAAAGTATATTAAAATTATCTAGATTTTGCATAAATAAGAACACAACATTTAAAATTTTTTTTAATTAAGGATATGATATTTTTTTATTATTAATCAGGAATATCTCATTTTAAAAGTTTTTAATCGAAATATATGAATTTTACAATTTTACTAAAAAAATAACTAAGTAAATGTGCACAGTCCTATTCTTGATTAAAATTTTTGAAAAGTGACAAACTTGATTAGTGGAAAAAAAGTTCATATCTTTAATTAATTATTTTTAAAAGATTCTATCCTTATTTGTAAGAAATCTCTATCCACATGTAATATCATGTACACAAAAAAAAATAAAAAATTAATGATTGAAAATGATGATAACAACCATAAAACACAATATAATCGACAAAAAATACTGTCAATTATATAAGTATTTTTGTTGATTATATCTTAATCGACAAATATAATCAACAACAATTTTTAACGTAAAAACAGTAGTAAAAAATAACTATAATTGACAAAAAAAATTTTTGTCGAATATAATTATATAATTGACAGCCATTGGCTGTCGAATATAAATATAATCGATAGTCAATGGCTGTTGAATATATTTGGTAAAAAAATTTAAAAAAAAATACAAAATTGAGGAAAATCCAGAATTGTATTTATAATTTTTTTGTTAATTAAATTATATAAAAAATAAAGAAACCAAATTCAATACAATTATCAAATCCCCCAACAATATATTTACGAAATAATTTTAAGAGCAATATAATATAAGAAATAGTAGATAAACATAAATAAAACTAAAATAAGAATTCTAACCTTAGTTATTTTTTGATCAATATCCTGGCAAAAATAAGAAAAAAAAATTGCATTGGTAAACATTATGACTTTATTAAAGAAAAGAAAAGAAAAAGTATAATCAAATTTAAGAGAAAAATTTACCTCACAATTATTATATTAAAATCTGCATACACACACAAAAAAAAAAGGAACTATTAGTATATCAAATAATAAAAATTCTAAATTTAAACTAAATTGAAGTAGTTGGATGATGCATAAAAATAAAAATGCATTGACTGAGGAGGATGAAGAAAAAGAAGATGATGGACTGTCAACAAAAGAAGATAATAGAATAAGTATAAATGAAAACTAAAATAAAGCTAGAGATATTTATAAAAATACAAATGGGAGAGTATAAAAGATGAAAGAAAAAGCAAAAAATAACAAGAGAAGAAGTTGAGAGAAAAACTGGGACGTTTTGCCTGTGAGAAAGAAGGAGAAAGGAAGAGATAACCAAAGATGAAAAAAAGAAGACAATGGGATGTTCTGATTTTGAAACCCTTATATAATAAAAATATATTTGACAGAAATTTTGTCGATTATATTGAAACAAGGCTGTTAAATATACTTCAAATTAAATTAACTGGGAGATTTAATTTTTTTTGGGTGAATGGCGGGTTTCAAGTATATTCGACAGCTAAATTTTCTATCGATTATAAGTATAATCGATAGCTTTTTCCTGTCGATTATGTTTTAAATTTTTTAATCTTTTTTTTTAATTTTTGTATTTTTAATTTTTATATTTAAATTGATATGCTATTTTTTTTGAACAAATGATCAGTTTGATTTATCTAATTCTCTTTTTTTTGCTTTCTTATTTTTTTTGGTTTTTTTTCCTTTAGTTTCTTTTTATTGATTTTCTTGTAAATTTTTTTGGTTTTAAGGCTAGTAAGAATCAATTCTTTTGAGGTTATAATTGATTATTGAAATTATATTGAGATAAGGTTATCAAATATATTTTAAATTAAATTAGCCGGGAGATTTATTTTCTTTGG